TCACTAACAACAAACTATGGGAACAAACAAAACAAAACAAGAACAAACCGATCGCCAACCAACAAATATGCAGGAGAAAGTGGAGATGGATGGATTGGAAACTCGTGGCTGAGGAGGCCGCCACTGGGTGACATGGGGCGCGCGTCAGGCCACTGGTGGAGTGGAACCAGGCCGGAAGGGAAGCGGTGAGTGGGACGTCAATGCAAGGGTGACATGGAGGAGATGGTGTGAAGAGGAGTTGAAACAGTATGTAATAGAATGGATGCAGGTGAAAAGTACAGCAGAAGGATGACAGAAGTGGCAAGTGGAGACGTGCAGTTGAATCCCTATGTTCCAGTACACAGCTGGAATATAATTTTAACTAACAAACAGGTCAGAATTCACATATAAATCTTATCTCTTTTGATAATCTCAGTTTAGCAAAACAGACTATACAGATTAAATAGGTCTATTACATAAGGATATAGAAAACTGCAATGGATACCTTAGTTACAAAAGTGGAATTGTGCAGAAGAAACTTTTAACACTTGAAAACAAGGCAAACATCGAACTTCGTCGAAAAGCCCTAATGACAATAGACATTAAAACATATGAACACATTATCTATTTAACTTAGGGGTTGGATGCATAAGCATTGGAGTAAAAGCACTTTGAAACAGTTATACAAAAAATCCCCTAGATTTGAAGTCAGAGCACTGAATATACCAACATCTAAGTGCTTATTGCATCTCGTAGAGTTTTAAAGTAATGGTCTTTGTCATCAAGCTCGATTTTAAACCATTTTATCTGAAGGCAAAAAATCACTGAAAGCTTGCGGTATTCAACAATTAATGAAAACAAAACATGTAGTTCAGCGAAGAGTCTCTTTTCGGATAATTCATTCACTTAACTATAATAATAATGATTTGCTTTATTCCAAAACAGTACTTGTAATATTGAATGGAATTCTCAGCATTTTTAATACAATATTGCATCCAGTTAGTACATTAACAATAAATAAAATTCTACATAGATTAAGGATAATCTCGGTTAGTTTTGACAACAACATATTAGCATGTCGGTAGCAAATCCAAAATTAAACAGAGTGTTTGGAGATGATAGAAAAGTAGATACTACTAACATATTTACTGGCGTAAGCGGTAACAAAGTGGTTGAGATATACAGAGTGTGAAGAACGAAGAAGAATGCTTTAAATAGAGTTTGTAAGGAAGAAAGAAACATGGCAGCACATAACAACAAAAAAGAAAAACGTTGTACCTATAAATTATATGAGTTGGAAAGACGAGATCCAGTTGTTCTACTAACTATTTAATAAGTTATAGGTATCACGCCTAATGCTTTCTTTATTGCACAGAATGCAAGCTAAGTAGGGCATGGTTGAGTTTTTGTACTGTACTGTAACTGTACAATCAAAACTATATATGATTATTTTTGTATGTGTGTGTGTGTACACTGGGTTTGTCAGACAAGAATAAAAGTTAGTTAGCGCTGTTGTTTACGTCATAAGAGTACTCCAAAATATGTGATGAGCAATCAGATTGTAACCTAGGGATGAACTATTTTCAACCTGGCCACTGAGAGTGGAAGACATGAAAAGACTAGCTCTCTTTGATCATAAGTGCCTGCGCTCTATTTCCTGTGTAAAGTGGCATAATAAGGTGAGCAACATTGAGGTTAGGCGTAGAGTTCTAGGTAAACAGGGGAAATCAATTGACGAAGTCGTGAAGCTACAAAGACTGAGATGGTTAGGACATGTGTTACGTATGCCAAGCCATCGCCTCCCTCGACGAGCTATGTTAGCGGATATAGGGTCAGGCTCGAAAAAAGCTAGCGGCGGTCAAACAAAAACTTGGCATCAGTCAATGAAATCCACAACAGTTAGTCTAAGCCACGTAGGAAGGTGTAGACTTCCAGGCTGGGGTCCTCGGGACGGTAAAAATCTATGGTTGGAAACAATTGGTGACATGGCTCAAAATCGTCCTCAGTGGCTGTTGCAGATGCATCCACTCCCTGTGACTTATGATCTTCAATGAAACTGTTTTGTATTTCTTTATTACTCCTTTGTCTCACACCTCTGCTCACTGTTTCTATTATGCTTTTCTTGTACTTTCTTCTCTTGCTTCGCGTGCTACACGGAATGTGGCGACTTGAACTTCCGCACATTTGTGCAAAGTTTTATGTCGAAAACAGACAGACAGACAGATAATATGCAACAATCGGATAAGAAACGCTAAAGTCTTAATTAAAATATTGGTCCTATCAGCCGACGTTTATTTTTTTTTTAACCGACAACAATGGTGCATTGAAGACTTTTCAAGCATCCGCATTTATCGCCTACTTCTACAGCTAACTTTGGTTGAGATAGAATTACTCTTAAATACGTGATCATACTTGTATGCAGTGTTATATAAGACATTTATAAACCACCTCGCTTCGTAATATAAATCAGCCCACGATTTTGAAGTGACTGTTCTATAGAAACATGCAAAACCAGTGAATAGTTTTGTGCGTATACAGTATTATTCCTCTTATGTCACTCTGATTGGATTTTTCTTACCCTTTTGGGCTTCGAAATTACTGATTTCTTTTAGGTGTGTTTCTGTAAGATGGACATCTCATAATAATAAGCTATCATGTCAAACCAAGTGGGTGTAACCTTTCCATATTCTATGATAATAGTTCATAACTGACTGAAGACGTCATACACATATTTCACTTTTAGAATTGAAATGAAGCAAAAACAGCCGATAGAACAGAAGTGGACAATTTTTTCGGTTCCTCACCAACCACATTTTTTATTCCTTTATGTTCTCAGTAGAAGGAAGGTCCTCAAGTTATAGGCTTGAAGTTTTTGTAGCATTGGTGTCTAGTTTTACGGAATGGGGTTGCTAGCCTCATGCCTAACCGTCCCTTATTATCAGCCTTATTACTGTCTTAGCAATGTAAAGAAGTAAGTCGGTGGCGAAGGATAGAACCTCAGAACACCTACGTGGTTGGTGAGCATTCTGCCGCTGTGCCCCCATCACACCACCAACTGTATACAACCTATAAATCTTAAAATGCTTCCTTTATAAAGATCAGCTTAACCGTACAATGTTTACAGGATTTCATCATGAGCTGACATTAGTAAGAGAACCATTGGAAAACCTGGCAGTATTGGGCGGCTGTTTCGTCAGCCTGGTTTGGGACGCTTCAACAGTAAACACCCACCCCACCAGGGTTCGAACCCAGGACCTTCTGGTTTCAAGGGGAGCCATCTCGTAGACCATTAAGCCACTGGGACCCCATCCAATGGCCGCTCCATGAATTCTAACTTCTGCCAATTAACGACATAGCTTGACCCCTAGCCAATGTCTTCGGTGAGTATTTGTCCTCACACCCGACCTGCTGAACCCTACTGGTCACGATGTCCCCCCAGGACCCTAGGTAACTACCTACCTGAATAAGGCAAGTCCTGGCTTGGAATCCAGGTGGCTGCGTACTGAAGAAGAGTCCCAAACTAGGACAAAACAGTTATCCAGTACTCCCAGGTTTTCCAATGGTTCTATAACTGATGTCAGCTCATGATAAAATCCTTTAGTCAATCAAATCCCTACAAACCAACGCTCGAACAATGTTTAACTGGGATGCATGCAATGTATTAGAATTAAAATGCTTAAGAAAATGTCAGACATATCTACAAAGCAGTGAATTAAATCGTTTTATGAGAAAGCCGACAAAATTATACAGCAATAAAATAATAATAATAATAATTTTTGTTTTATTCCAAAAACAGTACTCATGATACAGCAAAGAATTTTCAGCATTCAGTACAATATTGCATCTATTTACTCAAAAACGACAAAAAAAATTAAAAATAAACATTACATAATAGTAATAAAACGATTGTTATAGCAGCTACATAGCAAAATACTGTATGCCATACGGAGAAAATATGCATAAAGTACAAAATTGTGGTAATAATAGTAATACCAACTAAAATAAAATAGCACAGTAACAATTAAACGATAGAAAGTGTGACACCATAAAATACAGAAAGATGAACGATGAAAGGGTCGATTCACTGTGCTAATTACATAGTAACTTGTAAGTTTCACGTCTAACAGAGTCTCCGTCACATAAAGTACGGGTTAAATAGGGTATTGTAGAATTTCTATACTTAGTGGTACGAGCATATAACTTTTTATATTGACTTCTCGTCCTACCTGATGAGATACAAGGGGACAGGTGTGAATAAAGGGGGTGCAGAGAGTCTGACAGTATAGCCTTTGCCCATTTCTTACAGGAATTTATATGCCTCTCGACTATAGTATTGGCGAGCTCACGCAGTGACATAGTAAAAGCCCTACTCACAGCATTTATTACCCTTCGTAATATGATATAATCTTTTTTGAGAAGCCCAGGAAAGATTAATGGAGAGCAATAGAGTACAATAGGTAAAATACAGGAGTTTAAAAATTGCAAAACTAAAGGTTGGTTGATACCTGATTGTCTTAACTTTTTAATGTAGAAGGTAAGACGAAACATTTTCTTAGAAATAGATAAGATGTGGGATGACCATGAAAGGTCAGAGGAAAGAACTAATCCAAGGTATATAATGCTTGATTTGGTTTCAATTTCCGTGCCATCTATGCTACAGGGATCATGCGAGCTAACTAGTTCAAGTAAGTCACGTCGATGCTTACTAAATTATAAGCATAATTATTTGCAAGTATTATGATACTATGTTAAAGTATGTATTCGTTGTCCCGCCCTAACTGTTACAACACGTGATTACATGGAATATTTTACCACAGCGTCAATCTATACAACGCATACAATAAGTAGGTTTCTTGCCGTTGGCGATTACAGTAACATCTGATCAGTGACAACAAAAATTTTTTACTGTATGTAAAAAAACATGGTGAAAATATGAATGCCTTTGTTGTTGTTCTTTTTTTACGGTAGTAATTAAACTTTCAGAAAACTGTGTATGCTTCAAAAATAAATGAAAGACTAACCGGTAACTGTTTAACATGATTGCCTTCAATATTGAATTCAGTCAACTTTCGACAATTGCAGATTTCGTCTGGAAGTTGAGTAAGATAGTTGTACCTAAGAAAAGAAAGGTGAACATATCAAAAAGGCCAAAAAAAGTATTGAAAAAGAAAAACTGGTGAGTTTATTAAAAATAATAATTAGCGAGAGAATACCTAAATTCAAATTTTCAGGTACTTTTAGACTAAAAAACATTTCTGGATCTCAGAGCTGTTGATTCGTTAAAGGCTAATTCTCCGCCAATCCAATTTTCTCGTGTGACTCATTTCAACTATGAGTCAGAATGTTGCGGGCGAGGAGTCAGGAATACGCTGGATCACTGATAAGTAGACTCCACCTAGAAGATCTGGACTTCTTGCGTGTGGATGATATATGTCTAATGTCACACAAATTCGAAGACTTGCAAGCGAAAACCAACAAACTGGTTGAAGAGGCTGGCAGCGAAAACAGCGCTGCAGGTGAACACAGAGAAGACGGAGAGATAATGCAGATAACCAATGGACAGCAACAACAACCAGATTTGACAGAGGTCGACTCCCTCACTTATCTGGCTAAGAAGGATCGTTTCAAATACACGCGACAGCACGGATAAAGATGTTAAAGCCAGTCATAATCAGAAAGGCAAGATACGCCTTCATCAATCTGAAACCAGTCTGGAAATTTTTCGCACTCAGTCAGCAAAAAGAACAAGATTGACATATTCAACACCAATATGAAGTCGATCAGTGCTTCTATGCTTCTATGGCCAGTGTGTCACGAAAAGGATCTCCAACAGGCCAGTTACAAACTTTCATCAACAGCTGCCACCTTCACTGGCTGACTCCATACTGAGGATCAAATGGCCAGCCCGCCAACCAGAAAGAATTAGCAACAAGAAACTATGCGAACAAACCAACCAAGAGCAAATCACTCAGCAAATATGTAGGAGAAATGGAGATGGATCGGCCATTCAATGAGGAGGTCGTTGAATGACATCAAACGCTAGGCCATTACTCGAGTCGAATCCCGTTGGGAAGCGACGAGTGGGTCATCAGTGAGAGGGTGACATGGAGAAGATTGTGTAGGGAGGGAGAGATAGGATAATCGTTGAGCTAGCCAGCTGAAGCGGACGGCAGAAAACAGAACAAAGTGAAGATGTGTAGTTGAAGCCCTATGTTCCACTTGGAACGCAATGGAAAAATAATAATAATAATAATGAACAGACATAAATGTCGAATAGCTTTACAAAATTTTCTCCATGAAGTTCATGTTCCACAGAAAATCCAGATTTTTGAGTTAAGTAAAAATCTTAAATCACAACTTTTGATTATCCACTTTTAAACGAGACTGATGACAGCCTGACTGGCTTGGTGAAAATGTTGATTATCACGGTGACGAATATTTCAGGTTTTAAGTAAGATGTTAGAGGAAATATGACCCTATAACATATTAATCTTCGGTTTGTAGATTTTAACAATCAAATTCGAATAATATTTTAATGAGAGCTAACAGTCACAACTAGTGGGATTGGTCATTTCACATCACTGATAATTAGTTGTCTACACATTTTAATAATCGACAATTCATAAACATGGAGTCTATTTATCATTGTTTTCAGAAGCGCAAAAGTAACCATAATGGTGGCTATTGACTATACATTACTAAGATCTTCGGGAGTACATTTCTGCACCAGTTTCTAAAGTCCGAATAGCTCGGTAGCAACATTTCTTAGTGCAGCACTAAATTACGTGGGCTCTAATGTTATGTGATTCATCAGTTTTTTTAAAGGAACCTCTGTGCGCCAGTGGTTTATCGGTGTAAAGTTCGACAGTCACACTGAAAGTCCAGGTTCGCTTCTCTTCCGATCCACTACAAAACCACGACCAGCCTGTAGTCAAAGCGCATCCTGTAAATACTACACCATCAGAGCTAAAATTTCAAAGTGTAAAGCCACACCTTCCACTCGGAAATGGAAGAACTGAGGAATTCAAGGTGGATGTATTGCTGATTCAACCAAGTCTCATTTTTGCCTTGTTCTTCAAATATGTATATATATATATGATGGAGAAGTTTTGTAGCTCAGGTGGATGATTTTGATGTGGTTGTGTTCTCTGAGCTGGATACTTAATTTGAGAAGCTTTCATTACCCCCCAACTTACTAGGTAACTTCTTCAGCGCATACTACAATTTGAAGTGAGCTTTTAGATTTCTTCACCAGTTTATTAGTCATCTCTCCTGGTGACCCTGAACGTGATTGGTTGTTTTTGTGAGTTCCCACACCCTCTAGGCTACTTGCATCGGTACTGATTGTTTCCTTTTGTGTGTGAGGGTTAAAATTCAGGTCAAAGAAACAATCAGTGCTAATGCGAGTAACCTAGAGGGTGTGGAAACACACAAAAAACAACTAATCACGTTTTGATTTGACACTAGTAACTAGTATGATGTGTCTAGTCCTCTCATTAGTGCAAACTGAATTCTATCAGTCAGGTTGTAATGTGGCCACCATTCTAGGTAGCCCACCACTACCTATCTGAATAGGGCAAGTTGGTCTAAGTTCTCTCTCTAAGCTGGTTCTCTGAATGTACCTTAGAATCTAACATATACAGACAACACTAAAAACTAGGAGTAGGCGATAATTCATGAAATGTAATCATAATACACTGTACTCTATACTTTTATGTTCCCTAAGAAGAAGGCTACAGGCTGAGACCACAGTAGATGAATTTCATTGTATATATATATATATATATATATATATATATATATTCTATAGTTTAGTTTGTAAGGGTTAGTTATGTTTTTACGAGTTGATCACGGATTGATATCAGTTAGAGAACCATTAAAAACCAGGGAGTAATGGACAGCTGCTGTTACATCCAAGTTTGGGAATCATCGGCAGTACGCACCCACTGGGATTCGTCAAAACCTAGTTAACCCTTACAAACCAAACTATAGAAAATTAATCTGATGCTCGCTAGTGGCTTGCTGCAGGTTGGAGTTTCCGGAGTTCTAGTGAGAAGTCGTGATCGGTGAGGTCCAATTAGATGTCACGTGTGTGGATGGATGTCTCACCAACGACAATGACTGGGGTTGCGCTAAATCATGAATTGGTAGAAGTTAGAATTAATGGACTGGTCATTGAATCAGGTCCCAGTGGCTGAATGGTATACTAGCTAGCTTGGCTTGTAACCGAAAGGACCTGGGTTCGAACCATGGCTGTGGGGCGTACTGCCGATGATTCTCAAACTAGGATGAAGCAGCAGCTGTTCAGTACTCCCTGGTTTTCAATGGTTCTCTAACTGATATCAATCCGTGATCAACTCGTAAAAAGTATATATATATATATATATATATATATATATATATATATATATATATATATATATATATATATATATACGTACTTCAAAATGATCAAATAAAAAGATTCATTTTGAACATCTCTTCAATATATTCACTTCTTCTTCTTCCTACTTGAAGTATAATTTATTCATTCTGTATGCTAATTAGTTGTTGTCATAGCCAGAACGTTATCTGACCAATGTAAAAATATTAACGGAGACAAAAAAGAAAGGTTTCATTAAAAAAAAACTATCGACCAATACTTCATTTAAAATGTCAGACCAACCTCATTACAATCTCATAATTTATACACACAACCGACAAACATTTAAAGTGTTTTCTTTTGTTTAGAATTACGATGAATTTATTTTTTACACTGTTACACCATCAATATAGAAGATATAGTCACCGGTATATTTTCAACCTAACTACATGACCTTAACCCATTGACTCTAGGTCAATATTCTTATCTTACACCTTTCAATATGCATCAATTTCGTTTTGGTATGCTTCTAAATGACAAATTCTGCCAAATATCACCTTATTTCTTTTTCTTCCCAGTGTCTTATAATTAAGTGTATGATAGCCTCAAATGATCACCTGTACTGATATTGATCTCTACAAGCGTCTTCTGAAGCAGTAAACGTAAATGATGACTGTACTAATTAATAAAAGTGTTCTTACGCTCTCCCTCACTGAATAAATATAAGGTGTGGCTGCGGAAATTGGATGCATTATTATTATTATTATTATTATTATCTACAAGTCCAATCCATATCACCCCCCTCGTAAGCATAGAATATAATACAGAAATCTCTTAAAATGTAATCAAACTGCTGTGTCACTGATTAATCATCAATGATTAGCTTGTGCCACTGTTTTACTTACTTAGTAAATAACACTATCTGTTTTAACGTAAGAGAATAAGATTCTAAAACGATAGCAGTAATACTCTCTATACACGGATGCCTTTTCTACGAATTTATGAATGACTAACTAGACTTAGTTTAAGCGGAAGTAATCCTGAGAATTTCCAACCTAAAACTGAATTAATTCCGGTGAGTTTCCTCTGTATTATTTTAAAGACAGTCATACAACTATAGGCCTACTGATTGGAGGAAAGGTTACCTCGTGAAACTACCGAAGAAGGGTGACTTACACCTCACTCTGGAAGAACTGGCGAAGAATCATGCTCCTGTCGACGCCAAGTAAAATTCCGAGTCGCATCATCCTGGAGAGAATAAAGGGCGCACTGGATACAATCTCCGACGAGAACAAGCTGGATTCAGGAAAGTCAGGCAAATCATGTACTGACCAAATTGCAACTCTACCCATCATCATCATCATCACAGAACAAAGCATGGAATGCCAATCAAACCTCTACTTCAACTCTATGGACTTTGAGAAGGAAGGCCTTCAACAGATGGCGTTGACCGCGAAGTAATTTGGAAACTACTCGAGTACTACGGCGTGCCCAGAATGTTCATTCATCAACCTTATTCAACAGCTGTACGACAACCACACATGTCAAGTGATCCACAACGGAAAACTCAACGTGTTTGGAGTAAACACAGGAGTCAGACATGAGGTTGCTTATTATCACCAATGATATTCCTAATTCTGGTGGACTGACTGGATTATGCGTCAGACAGTGAGTGGGAAACGAGAAGACAGGGATATCCTGGACCGACCGACGTGAAGGAAGAACCTAGAAGACCTGGATTTCTCACTTGGATGATTTATCTTTGAAGTCACACAAAATTGAATACTCACAAGCGAAAACCGACCGACAAACTGGTCGAAGAAGCAACTAGCGAAAACAGGACTCCAAGTGAACATCGATAAGACGGAGAATATAAAAATAACCAACCAACCAACAACGACAACAGCAAAAACATCCAGCGACAATCGCCATCAACTGGGGGGATTTGAAAGACATTACTGCATTCACTTCACTTATCCAGGGAGCATTGTCTCAACTACAGACAGTCGGAACAGACAACGATGTCAAATCGAGTGAGAATCGAATCGGGAAGGCGAGCGAGAAACACATTCATCAACCTGAAACAAACAATCTGGAAATCTTCGTCACTCAGCCATCATCAACAACAAAATTCAGTTGGATTTTCAATACAAACAACGTCAATTCAGTCAGTTCTTCTATACGGATCAGAAACTTGGTGAGTGGGTCACAAGGAAGATTTCCAACAGCCTGTTGCAGACCAGACCTTTATCAACAACTGTCAGATATCGCTCTATACTGAAGATCAGATGGCCGGGCCGGAAACAATCACCAACAACAAACTATGGGAACAAACAAAACAAAACAAGAACAAACCGATCGCCAACCAACAAATATGCAGGAGAAAGTGGAGATGGATGGATTGGAAACTCGTGGCTAAGGAGGCCGCTGGGTGACATCGCACGCGCGTCAGGCCATTGCTCGAGTGGAACCCGAAAGGGAAGCGGTGAGTGGGACGTCATTGCAAGGGTGACATGGAGGAGATGGTGTGAAGAGGAGGAGTTGAAACAGTATGTAATAGAATGGATGCAGGTGAAAAGTACAGCAGAAGGAAGACAGAAGTGGCAAGTGGAGAGGTGCAGTTGAATCCCTATGTTCCACTAGGAACCCAAGGGATCAATAATATAATAGTAGACACAACTAAAGAGTAGGTCAGTGTATTACATTTAACTACATTTTGGGAAAGCAGTTATTGTGCAAATATAGCATTTCATAAAAATTCGCATGCCTCGCAAAAACTTTGCCTTGACAATGTTGTCGTAAGCGCGCATGAAATGCAACCTGTGCTAATGTTCTACCTACATTAACTAAAAAAATATTGTTTTTTAATTGTGAATAAAAGAACGTTTGTCATTGCTCTGAATAATTAATATTTTGTTTTATGTTATGATGAGGGGAGTCGTACGAAAGACAATTGCATTTTTATGATGAAACTCATGAAATATTTAATATAAGCAGTCATAATTACATATATTTAGCCAAGTAGAAACCTACTCATACTACTAAATGTTGATGAAAAACCAAAACCAAAACACTGAACAAAAATTAGTAATTAGCCCTTGATCATTTATTTTTCTTTTTACACAAATTATATGTATCACTGGTAAATTAACGCCATTAACTTGATTATAAAATCAAATCAATGTCTATAATAATTGAATAGTCGAGACGCCCACCTGTGAAACTCTACCTCGTGATTTGAAATGATTTAGGTTTCTAACTCATATATCTATACTTATGGTGCTGATGTTTTATGCGCTGAATGGTTTAATTGCTTTCAATGCCTTTTTAGGCAGTGTCTTTAACTCCAACTACTATGTGACATCATGAGTGCCTACTTTATGAGCACAGACTAGTTGACTTGTGAGTCGGTGGCACAGCGGTAGAATGCCCGTCAGCCACGCCTCCTGTGGTCCGGGGTTCGATTTGCGGCCAGCGCACTACTTTACCTCGCTGAGCCAGTAATAAAACTGGTAAAGAGGCATAAGGCTAGTAACTTTATCTTGTAAAAATAAATATCACTGCCATCGGAACTTCAAGATACTAGTTTGAAGCCCCATGTTCCACTGAGAACGCAAAGTAATAAAAAACTAGTTGAATTATGCTGATATTTATTGTCTCTACGATCCGTTTCCTTTACAGCAGATGTTCTCACTCCATTACTGCGAAAGGTTTGGAAAGAAGGAAAGGTGCCTGCTGATTGAAAGAGGGGCTACCTCGTCAAACCACCAAAGAAGGGCGACTTAGGCCTTACTCTGCAAGAACTGGCGTCGAATAATCCTCTTGTCCACGCCGAATAAAATACAAAGTCGCATCATCCTGGTAAGAATGAAGTACGCGGTGGATACAGAACTCCTCCCCTCACCGAAACAAGCTGGATTCAAGAAAGGTAGATCATATGCAGATCAAATTGTAACTCTATGAATCATTATCACAGAACATAGCATAGAACGACGGCCAAACCTCCACCTCAGTTTCAATCACTTTGGAAAGGCTTTCGAAAGCGTTGACCGGGAAGTAATTCGGAAACTACTTTAACACTATGGCGTACAGTGTGAAAATTTTAAAAACCTCATATAAAAGCTTGCTATATGACAATGCCATGTGTCACGTGATTCACAATGAAAAACTCAGTGAGGCGTTCGAATTGCACACAAGAGTAAGAGACAAGCTGGCTGCTTATTATCACCCAAGATAGTCTTAGTCATGGTAAACTGGAATATGAGTCATACTGTTGGAGGCAAAGAGTCAGGAATACGCTGGACAACTGATACAAAAACTCTAGAAGATCTGGATTTCTTGCGTGTGGATGATATATGTCTAATGTCACACAAACTGGAAGACTTGCAAGCGAAAACCAACAAACTAGCAGAAGAAAAAGGCAGAGGACACAAGACTATAGGTAAACACAGAGAAGACGGAGGTGATGCAGATAACCACCAATGGACAGCAATAACAACTAGAAACAATCACCACCAACGGGAGAGATTTGACAGAGGTTACTTCCTTCACTTATCTGGCTAGGAAGCATCGTTTCAACTACAGGCGACAGCACAGGTGAAGATGTTAAAGCCAGTCGGAATCACAAAGGCAAGATACGCCTTCATCAACCTGAAACCAGTTTGGAAATCTTCTGCACTCAGCCAACTCAAGGAACAAGATTCGAAATTTCGACACCAATGCGAAGTCGGTCAGTGCTTCTCTACATGTGAGAAACTAGCCCTGTGTGTCAGTCACGAAAAGGATTTCCAACAGGCCAGTTACAGACTTTCATCAACAGCCACTTTCGCTAGCTGGCTCCATACTGAAGATCAAACGGCCAGCCAGAAAGAACAAGCAACAGGAAATTATGGCGATGAAAAAACCAACAAGCAAGAGCCGATGGCTCAAAAGATATGCAGGAGAAATTGGAGATGGATCGGGCATACATTGAGGAGGTTGCTGAATGATATCGCACGCTAGGCCATTGCTCGGGTGCAATCTCGTTGGGAAGGGACGAGTAGGTAGTGAGTGCGAGGGTGACATGGAGGAGATCGTATGAGGAAGAGATGAGAGAGTTTGGTCAACTGTGGATCCAGCTAAAGGGAGCAGCAGAAAGCGGAACAAAGTGGAGATGTGTTGTCGAAGCCCTATATTCCGCTCGGAACGCAAGGAAATAATAATAATGTAACAATTTCCAGTCTATGTGCAACTGCATATGCCCAGTACAAAATGTTGTGCTAATAAATGACAGTTTTAGAGTAATTCTTAAAGCTGAAAGTTAATCTGCAACACAGTAATGTTCAAATGCTCATTTGAAAATTTTCAACTGATTGTTAAGTTCAACCACGAATTTGCCCTCGAAAGCCAGAAAGTGCTGGACAGCCATTTTGTTCTAGCTTGGGACGCCTTAGTAGACAACAGCTATGCCCCCCCTCACACAAAACTGTGTACAGAAAATCACGTCAAATGATTCGAAAAAATAATTAGGACATATTTCGTGATTACTAACTCTAAAACACCAAACCTTTTCCTAGAGTATGAGTGCTCATCATTTATCTATGGTACACAGTGAATGCTAACCATGAACACTGATTTCACATCCTTTATTATTAAAATTATTCCCTTGAGTTCCAAGTGGAATATACACCTTCAACAACACATCTCCTCTCTCTTCGATTTTCTGCTGCCCTCTACAGCTGGCTGCATGACTGTCCATAATCTCTCACCTCTTCCTCCTCTCACGATCTCCTGGATATCACCGTTACACCGATGACTCACGCGTTACTTCTCACTAGGGATTCCACTCGAACGATGGCCTGGGGCGTGGCGCCGTTCGATGGCCTCCCCAATGTATGCCCGATCCATCCCTATTTTCCCCTACATATCTGTTGACGATAGGTTTTTGATTAGTATGTTTCCTCAGTTTCTTGCTGCTAATTCTTTCTGGCTAGACATTCGATCTTCAGTATGGAGCCAGTCAGAAAAGGCAGCTGTTGATAAAAGTCTGCACTGATCTGTTGGAAATGCTTTTCGTGACATGCAGTGCAAGAAGTGGCTAACTTCACATCTGTGTTGAAAATCTGAATCTTGTTCCTTATGCTGACGTGGAGTGAAGAATATTTTCAAACTAGTTTCATAACTGATGAAAGCGTATCTTGCATTTCCGATTTGGTTTGGCTTTAATATCTTCATCCGTGCTGTTGCCTGTCAAATCTCTCCCGTAAGAGTCACAACTTTTTGTCGATTGCTGAATATTTATAATATCGGTTCTCTGCGCTAACCAACAAAAGAAATTATGATATCTTTAGTTCAGTAATTTACGGAAGTCTGTTTGACTTCACTAACGCATAGAAGATAAGTTCAAACGGCTTCAGTTAGAGCCTCAAACCCTCTTTCCTTTATCGACAAGATGTATAAAACACTATCTTCGAGAACTTTGAACAATTATACAACGAATTTATTACTAACTGTGTTGTATTCACACGATAAAACTAAAAAAACAAAATTCTGACTGAAATGAATTTTACATGTAAACAAACGATAATCCTAATTGGATAAAAATTATCAAAATATTTATGTGAAACGTCGATTATTGAAAGGATGAACAAATAAATGGCTTAGAATTCAACTTACTTTAGTCCTAAAACAGTAAGTTCCGTTAACTGACTAATAGACTTTGGTAATTCATCAATTTGATTATAATCCACAAGAAAGCGGGACAGTAATTTACAGTTACCTATATCTGAAAATGTAAGAGAAATAAACATATATATGTATTTAATTATAGCTTGATTCCACATCGTATTTTTGTTACAAGTAAGGGATTTTTAGCATGTGGCATCAGTAGCCCAGATTTTGCAGGGCAACCAATTGATATCAGGTGTATATCGGTAAGGGATTGAACCACGGGCCATTTGCATGGTCGGCGACAGTCCTAACCACTGTGTCACCAATTAGTTCACTTGGCTGGGAAGGTTTAATAGAGTGGAAAAACAGTGACATAGAACAACGCAAAAACAAAATATCAAAGATAAGATAAGATAATAGCTTTATTCCAAATCAGTACTTGTGATACAGAATGGAATTCTCAGCATTTTTACTACAATATTGCATCCAGTTAGTACGTTAACAATAAATAAAGTTCTACATAGATTAAAGTTATCTCAGTCAGTTTTGACAACAACATATTAGCATGTCGGTAGCAAAGCCAAAATTTAAACAGTGTTTGAAAGTGTTAGAAAAGTAGATACTACTAGCATCAAAGTAGCAATAATGACCGGAACTGCTTGGTTTTCGTGCATGATTATGAAATCTGCAAGAGAATCACCATTGCTTCGTCTGTTTAGATCGGTAGCTTTGATAGATGAAGTGCTGTGCTAATTAATTCATTAGTCCTTGTAGATTAGGCTGTTGCCCTATAAACTAGGACTTTTATTCTCGGCAACACTTAGTAGCAAAGGTAAAAACAAATGTGTAACGAAGAGCAATAATAAATCTGTATTCACACACATGGTTCAAACAAACCACAAACGAAGTATAGCGCGGTGTCTCTGCATTCTATAGAGTACTGAACAAATTGCCAAGTCACTAGAAATTTAGTTTTTTCAATCTTACAATCACTTTTATACCAACAAGAGCACACAGAACCTTTTACTACATCTTCTCCCCCTGTCATCCATTCACCAATGCTTTATACTGAGACTCAATAGAATTTATTTTGAATACATCAGCCACTGCACTCACTATTGTGAACTTGCTTCTACCCATAAAATATCTACTGTGAACAGTTTAGTACTATAGAATAGCAATATTACAGGTGTTGCAAATATCCTGAAAAAATTTGATTCAACCTCTACAAAATTATTTGAAACAGCTCAGAATGAACATAATGACTATATAATTTGATTTCCTAATAAAATCTAAATAATTGTATTAAAAAATCATAAGAAATCTCTTTGTCACCTTCCAGACAAGCTGGGGGGCGAATTGCTTGACCTCAGGTCCCAATTGAATTAAATAATTACTGATACCGGTTGTACAAGAGGTGGCTTTTGTAGACCAGGTGGTTTAGCGGATAACACTTCGTCGTTTGAAACCATGGGTACTGGGTTCGAGCTTCAGTGGGAACACCATAACTCACTGGGGAATGCAGGTACTTCTAGGTGACGACTCCCAAACAGAATAAATGTGAATCCTCCGTTCCACTGCTGGTAACCATCCACCAATTCACTTCAGGATTGGAATATTTTTTACAATTCACTCACCACCGACTTAAGTCTTTTATCGGACAAACATATTTTCAGCTGCCTTCTGTTAACAGTTCTTCACGTTGGTCCAGGATATCCCTGTCTTCTCGTTTCCCACTCACTGTGTGACGCATAATCCAGTCAGTCCACCAGAATTAGGAATATCATTGGTGATTATAAGCAACCTCATGTCTGACTCCTGTGTTTACTCCAAACACGTTGAGTTTTCCGTTGTGGATCACTTGACATGTGTGGTTGTCGTACAGCTGTTGAATAAGGTTGATGAATGAACATTCGGGGAACGCCGTAGTACTCGAGTAGTTTCCAAATTACTTCGCGGTCAACGCCATCTGTCGAAGGCCTTCCTTCTCAAAGTCCATAAAGTTGAAGTAGAGGTTTGATTGGCATTCCATGCTTCTTTCTGTGATGATGATGGGTAGAGTTGCAATTTGGTCAGTACATGATTTGCCTGACTTTCCTGAATCCAGCTTGTTCTGGTCGGAGTTCTGTATCCAGTGCGCCCTTTATTCTCTCCAGGATGATGCGACTCAGGATTTTGGTTGGCGTCGACAGGAGCATGATTCCTCGCCAGTTCTTCCACAGTGAGGCGTAAGTCACATTTCTTCAGTAGTTTCACGAGGTAACCTTTCCTCCATTCAGTAGGCACCTTTCCCTCCTTCCAGACCTTTTGTAATAATGGAGTCAGCATAACTGCTGTCGTCTCTCGGTCCGCTTTCAGTGATTCAGGGGGATTCCATCTGGTCCGGCTGCTTTTCCAGCTTTCAGAAGCCTGATTGCATTCAAGACATCAGCTCTCGTTGGAGGATTGGTGTCATCTGTCACCTGTGTGCGCGCTGTTGTTGGTACTTCTGGACGGGTTGCAGGTGGTGGTAGATTCAAGAGTCCTTTGAAGTGGTCCGCCCATCGTTTAATCTGTCTTTCTTCCTTGATAATTGGGTTCGCTTGGCTGTCTTTTATAGGTTTCACTTGTGTTGATCTCTTCCCGGATAGAGACTTAGTTATCTGATATAATGTCCTCAGGTCCCTTTTGCCTGCTGCCTTCTCAGCTTCAGTGGCCAGGTTGTTGTAGAATTGTCTTTTGTCCTTCCTAGCACTCTTCTTCACTTCTTTTTCCAGTGCTGTGTAAGTTGAGCTCCGCGTCTCCTTCTCCTGTCCATCCTTGCATTGAATCATTTTCTCTTTCACCATTCTCCTCTTCTCTATTAGCTTCCAAGTGTCCATTGAGAGCCATTCTTTGTCTTGTCTCTTCTTTCTTTAATAATGGTAGTGTACAATTATATCAATGATCTACACATTAACACTGAAACAATTTTCAAGCAAATGTCCTCGGTAGATTTTGTTGCAAGAAATAATTTGTTTAGTAAGACCTTTACATCAATTGATCACAGTGTAATTTTATTAAGTACTTGGTTATGACTAATCCCAGTCAATCCATTTCACAGCACAGTGCTGAAATAGAGCACTTTATTAGTAAAGTTATATTGTTTGCAGCACACCTCACATGATGAGAAGGAGGAGGAACATCTCATAATCATCCCACTTAAATATGAATACCTAACAAACTTCACCAACAGACATCCGCCCTCATAAAACAACCGATCAAGTCAAAATCATGCAGTGAAAACACACAGCAAACCATTCAAGTATGTATGTACAACTTATTTGAAACCACTGCAAAACTGATGAAACCTTCTAGAATACATGTCCCAAAAGTCAACACAATCGCGGTAGTAAGTACGTAAGAAGAAGGGATAGACGGTTGTCCTTGGGGATAGTTGGACACGTAATGAAGAGTCTACGCCTCAGAAGTTCAACTTCGTTGAACATAGCCATAAGCTAGCTTACTGTTGATATGCAATAACAAACTGACATATCACACAATCTTGTGCATCGGTGGCACAGTGGTTACGACTCTCACCGACCATGCACATGGTCCGAGGTTCGATCCCCTGCCGACGCAAAATTTGGGGCTACCGATATCACATGCTGAAAATTCCATACTTGTACCAAAAAAATACGGTGTGGAATCAAGCTGCAACCAAAAAAGCCAAAAACACTTCTAAGATGATGAAAGGAAGAAGCACTTAACAAATACCATGAGCTTCTGAAGTTGTTGCAATTCGAAAAGTAGAACAGGAATTATGTTCAAAAGACAGCTATTACTAACTTAGTACCTACTACCTGGATGAGCACTATAAACTCCAGTTCAGCTTATAGAAATTCAGTTTCACTTTTATAACGTACCTTCTTGATATTTGCATTCATCTGTTTTCGTACTAATTTTATTAGTACTTTTGTTATCTTTTGGCTTTGTCGTTCTGTTTTTGATAAACCCTTCAAATGATTAGCTATAGTTATCTCCGCTTATATCTCAATTACTCTTCAATTTCAGAACACTGCTATCTTTCCAGTATATATATAATGTCTATATTCTGGTCATAATATATTATCCTGACTTCCTGCATAATTAGTATGTCGTCTCCGTTGTACAAACCAACTTACTATTCAGCCAAAGGATGTCTAAATAAAGCATGTCATATTTATCACATAGACAATTTATCACTGACGAAAAGTCTATGAAATAGAATGATTTCATTATATCATACACAAGCTGCTCTTATTGAGTTATTCAAATTTATTGGTGGAAATAATTCCATGGCGTTTTGATTATCATTACTATTATTGCTATTTAAAATACAACAAAGCAGACATGATAAAGCTGATTGCTTGTATTATAATTTATAATCATCTATGCTTAGACTCCGACCAGAACAAGCTGGATTCAGGAAAGTCAGGCAAATCATGTACTGACCAAATTGCAACTCTACCCATCATCATCACAGAACAAAGCATGGAATGCCAATCAAACCTCTACTTCAACTTCATGGACTTTGAGAAGGAAGGCCTTCGACAGATGGTGTTGACCCCGAAGTAATTTGGAAACTACTCGAGTACTACGGTGTGCCCCGAATGTTCATTCATCAACCTTATTCAACAGCTGTACGACAACCACACATGTCAAGTGATCCACAACGGAAAACTCAACGTGTTTGGAGTAAACACAGGAGTCAGACATGAGGTTGCTTATAATCACCAATGATATTCCTAATTCTGGTGGACTGACTGGATTATGCGTCACACAGTGAGTGGGAAACGAGAAGACAGGGATATCCTGGACCGACCGACGTGGAGGAAGAACCTAGAAGACCTGGATTTCGAACTTGGATGATTTATGTTTGATGTCACACAAAACCCAAGACTTACAAGCAAAAACCGACCGACAAACTGGTCGAAGAAGCAGCCGGCGAAGACAGGACTCCAAGTGAACATAGACAAGACGGAGAATATAAAAATAACCAACCAACTAACAACAACAGCAGAAACATCCAGCGATAATCGCCATCAACTGGGGGGATTCGAAAGACATTACTGCATTCACTTCACTTATCTAGGAAGCATTGTCTCAACTACAGAC